AATTCAAATTCAACAATCAACTTTACCGACAAATAGATGGGGTCGTTATGGGTTCGCCTCTGGGACCTATCCTGGCTGATATCTTCATGGGCTACCTTGAGCAGACACAACTGAGTTCTGATATCAATGGAACGGCCTACTATCGCCGATATGTTGATGACACATTTGTTGTTTGCAACGATATGGATCACACATCGGCATTATATGATCGCCTAAATGAGATCTATCCAAATATCAAATTCACCATGGAATATGAACATAATAATGAGTTAAATTTCCTGGATCTAAATGTAAAAAGAACAAACGAAGGCATGGTCGAAAAGTTCATCTATAGAAAATAAACCTGGACTGGACAATATCTTCACTAAAGCAGCATTTGTCCCATAAGCTATAAACGTGGATTAGTGAGGACTTTGTACGACAGAGCCCGGAAGCTATGTTCACCAAACAGGGTCTAAGAAGAATTAGATTTCGTCGAGAAATGTCTAAGGGAAAATGTATACCCTAAGGGATTTATACAGAAGTACAGCAGAGAAAAAGATGAGAAAGAAAAGCATCCAACTGTAGAAAAGAAAAAAGTGTTTATTTGTCTACCGTAAAAAGGAGATGCAGTGTCACAAAAGATTGACAAAAGATTGAAAGGTGCACTAAATAATAGCTTCCCGGCAGCTAAACTCATAACAGTATACAGCACCACTCCTTCTTTAATCCACTCAAATCTGGATAAATACCTTGCTGATGTCACCTCCAACTGCGTTTATGAATTCACGTGCACTTGCGGGAGCAAGTACATTGGAAGGACAGAAAGAAGGGCTTCTATCCGGTTTTCTGAAAATATTCCAAAAAACCTGTGCCTGAAAGGAAGCAGATGTTCCCAGAGTGCAATTACCAGACACACTGTTGATACCGAACATCTCGTAGAGATTTCTAAGTCCTTAAAAATATTAAATAGACAAAGGACAGCAAATTCACTACAATTTGCCGAAGCGATCGCAATCAAACGACTTAAATCAGACTTATGCATACAGGTAGTCTGCAGCTGATGAGAACCTGTGAAATGGAATGATATCGTTTTATTCTGCAAATTTCGTCTTTTTTTCTTTGTCGGAATTTATCAAGGGAACGAAATGTATGAATTGGGAATTTGGCGACCGATAGCCTGTATTCCTCCTCACGTAAACCACAGTCAGTCATATAGTCGGTATACTTCAAACTTCGTACACCATTGCAATTCACCTCCCCTAACTAACACAGATAGTATTTCTAGACATTGAAAATATCTACACTGTAACATCTAATTCATATCGGTTTGAAGAAAAAAATACGCCATTAAGGCAAACAGAGACTCAAGTGAAAACTAGCTGGTGAAATTGGTCCTGCAGCAAACACACTGGTAACAAGACCCACCATCTAACCAAATGGATTCAGTGATACAGCATTCAGGGTGTGTACAGTGATTGGAATAGCGTACAGTGACCAATGAAATTCCAATGCCACGAACGTCAAATGTTGGTCGAGTCAATATATTCACAGCCGATCAAATAATCGGTGGGTGGATATTCCAGTGTTCATGCTTCACAGTGAGTAATTCATTTAGGACGATGAGACAGACAGTTCGTTGTCAGATGATTCCTACATGTGGAATATCGTGATAACGTGATCAAGTGGAGTACTCAGTTACCTCATACTACATATATAACAAACTTCATTAGGATAATGTGGACATGTCACAGACTTCTGTGAATTTCTACGTGTTATCTACGTGTTGTTAACGGAAGATATCGTTCAGATTAATTAGCGATGAGGTATCTAATCCATTCGAGGAAAATAATTAAAACTTTTCGTTGCTCCCGAAATACTTTTATTTAAACACTCACTTTAAGGACATACTCTTGAAAAGAACCTTCCAATAGCTAATGATAGAATATTTTTATTCAACGTTCACCAACGGTAGGAGATGTATGCAGAGGGATTTTACAGCAATCCTGTTTTCGCCAAATTAGCCCTTCTCTTACTCAATTTTATCTACAGTAAATTTATTATTTCCACCTTCATCCTACTGGAAGGAAGTTTTGAAATGTCAGTGAGCTATGAATACCTGCATACTGTCACAGTATTCCTCATTATATTTCCAATAGCTCCAGAATGTGAGACATTGTTTCACTGCTCCTGAGAGCTTGTTAACTCCACAACACGAAATATCAAACACATATCGCAGAGTCAAATCTGAGTGAAAATGGGTCTATGCGGGTTTGTCTGTCTGTTTTTGACATAGAACTTTGCACTGATGTGCCACAGTTCAAATAGCCACACTCCACTCCATGTAGCACACAAAGCAACAGAAGAAAGTAGAAAAAAATGCATATTAGGGAAATTAAACAGAGGTGTGAGACAAAGGAATAGTAATAACGAAGGACAAAACAATTTCATTGGAAATCATAAGTCACAAGGAGTGGATGCATCTGCATCAGCCATTGAGAACGATTTTGAGCCATGTCACCAATTGTTTCCAACCATCAGATTTTACCGTCCTGAGGACCCAAACCAGGAAGTCTACATCGTCCCACGTGGCTGGCTTAGACTAACTGTTGTAGATATCAAAGACTGATGAGGCCATGTTTTGGTTTGACCGGCGCTAGCTCTTTTCCAGCCTGACCTTATGTCAGCTAACATTGCTCGTTGAGGAAGGCGATGACTAGGCATGCATGCGCAACACATGTCCTAACCATCTCAGTCGATGTAATTTCACAGCCAAGTCGATTGATTTCCCCTCCTTACCTAGCACTCGCCTGAGGCATAACCTCAATATTGCTCACCTTATTATGCCACTGCACGCGGGAGATAGAACGCAGGCACCTATGATAAAAGACAGCTAATCTTTTCATGTCTTCCACTCTCAGTGGCCAGGTCTCACAGCAATAAAGGAGGACGGAGTGGGCTTCTGAGCAGTACACACGCCCTTTGCTCGACAGCTAGTTGGATATCACGTCTGGTAAGCCAGAGACGGCGTAAACTGGTATATGCGAAACTAGCCCTCTGTATCCATGCTGAGATTTCGTCAGAGATCTATGCGAGTAGTTCTGAAATACCAATATGAAGTCGAAAGAAAATGTTTCTCCCAAATATAGCTCTAAAGTAAATACCCTTCTTATCACACACACAGAATTGCTGACCAATTATAATGAACCACCTATTTCTCTGATTCCAATCACCGAACTAACCAACCAATCAATGTTTGCAATTACACGTCAACATCCTCAGTTTGCAGTCCCACTTTAAAATGACCCACGTGATTATAACCTGAAACGTAATTTTGCTCCAACATCTTGTATGGTATATAAAAGAAAGAAGCACCAAAGTACAGACTGCACTAATTTGTTTTAGATATGCCACTACGACTTCAGTTACATTTAAAGTAAACTATAATTATGTAGAAGTCTATCTTGAATTAGGTTTCTCATTTCATAGTGCCGGACTATCTCGTGAACTGGATTCATTGTGTCATTTTCTGTATCAATCTCATCTGAATTGTTAATAATAGATGGTTGAAGGCCATCGTAATGAAGCCTTGGACCTAGGTTTAATGCTAATTGGCACTCATCAGCAAGGCGTTGCCTCACGAGTGCTTCAATTAGTGACGTTACCATTGAGTGATTCGTGCTGGCTCGCGACTGACCTCCTGTAAGGACTATGTTGGATACTTTGATTGGACACTAGAAACTAGTGTGATGTGTCTAGTCCTTTCTTTGGTGCAGACTGAATTTTATCAGTCAAACAATGGCATGGTAGCCATATTGTAAACTTGACTGACACAATTCAGTATGCACCAGAGAAGGGACTTGATGCACTTACTGGCTACTGACTAGTGTCCAGTCAATAAATCTCATATTCAAGTGTTGGTCTGTAGGGATTTGATTGGTTACAGAATTTTTATCATGAGCTGACATTAGTTAGAGAACTATTGAAAAACCTGAGAGTATTGGATGGCTGTTTCGCCCTAGTCTGAAACTCTTCAGCTGTACGGGATTCGAATCCAGGACCTTCTGGTTACAAGGCGAGCTCGTAGACCATTAAGCCTCTGGGACCCGATCAAATGGCCCATGAATTCCAACTTCTGCCAATTCACGACATAGCGCAATCCCAGCCAATGTCTTCGGCGAGTATTTGTCTTCGCACCCGACCTGCTGCACCCTACTGGTCACGACTTCTCACTAGAACCCAAGGTAACTACCTACCTGAATAAGGCAAGTCGCTAGTGAGCATGTCATTGATATGCAAGTGTTGGTTTGTAGGGATTTGATTAGTTACATGATTTTCTTTATGAGCTGACATTAATTAGAGAACCATTGGAAAACCTGGGAGTACTGGACGGCTGTTTCGTCCCAGTTTGGGACCTTTCAGCACTACGCACCCACCTGGGTTCGAATCCCGGTTTTCCAATAGTTCTCTAACTAAAAGCAGCTCATGATGATAATCTCAGATGTTAGCGTATCACTGAGTTGATTGACATCCGATGGTGTAAACATTCAATGGAAGCTTTTTTATTAAATCATTTTATTCTGGATGGTGTCTGAGCTACACAAGTTGTGTAGATGGAGTAAGAGAAATACTGAGTCGTCGACTGTTTATCAATTTTACAAAATATTTTCTATCATACTCTACTAATTTTGATGATGAACTTTTCAGTAATAAATCCATAGTTTTGGTCTCCATATTTGATATCTCAAAGTACTAACAACATCTTTTGAACGTATTATATAAAGCTGAGGTATCTTTTACAATTACTTTCTGTATTATGAAACGAATTTAGGCTAGAGTTCATGGCTATCGTAAGTCTCTTTTGAACGCACAATCCTCGTCGAGACTTATGATGAGATAAAAAGCAGATGAATAAAAATGAGGGAAATCTGAAATTTCCAACTGTATTTACACATCCAATATATACTAATATTCATGAAATATTATCCACTTTATAAGATAAACTCATTTCATTTGAGCTGTTAAGGTTTTGGTGGAAGATTATCCGGATGAAAGTATTTCCAGTTTTCTTCTTGAAATGGATAATACTCAGCCCCGCTGACATCACTGGTATAAATTCCCGACAGTATCATCTGATCTCTTGCTTCATTCGACCATTTATCACCTGGTAACTGTTCTGTATAACAACATTCAACGTATTCTTTTCTTTTATCGACACGTTTTGAAGGAACTAAATAACATTCCCATGATGGCACCTTGAGAATACCCTTCCAATGAAATTCCTCTGTTAACTGAATCCTGATATGATCATACGTCTTTATGACGGATTCATTTTTGTTATAAAGTTTCTTAATACAATATCCATGAGTATGTTTGTCTATTAAACTCAAAAGATTGATAACAATAAATGTATAGTAGACAAGGCGTGATATTCTCTCAACCATGATTACTGAATGACAGCAATAATTGAGGGTAGAATATTTAAAATTCTACATGATCGATACTCACGTGGGTGGGAATTTATTGCACTAAGTGTATGTAGTATATAAGCAGCTGTGAGACATTGTAATGCTTAGCAGACTTATCACTAAAATTTGACAGTTTGCAATTTGTGTTTTCTTATATGTCAATCAAATAACTGTTGTGTTTTTGTAATCCATGTTAACTGTGGTCTAACACTGTACCATTGATATAAGGATAAAACTTGTGCACTGTGGTAGTGTGTCATTCCATTAGGGGTAAATATTTGTTTTGATAAAGTCTCACAGTGTTATACAACAGAGTTTACTGATGACCACGTTTCAAGCACAATTTATTGCTCATAATCATATCAAGGTGATTACCTTGCAGTTGCATTGTTTCTCACTTGATTTGATTGGTAATAGTATTTTCCATATTTCGGGTATGAGTGATGCGTCATTCCTATTGCACGTGTTAGGTGTGAACTCGATAAACAAGGATTCAGTGATCAACCTCTCTCTCCACCTACCTAGATTGCTTTTAAGAATTTTAACCCTCTCTCATCCTATTGTGTGGTTGTGTGTCAATGCATGCATCTTCATGGGGTCAACCATTCTTACCCTAGCTAAATTCTTATGTTCCGACAATTTGAGTACCCCTGACCTACTAGTTTGACTTATGTAGCTGACCTCACAGTCATTGCATGGTATTTTGTAAATTATATTATTTTGTCTAATTGGGTCGCTTAACCTACAGAGCTTGTCCGTGAGTGAGTTTGTTGGTTTGAATGACACCCTAATTCCTGCTTTGTTATTAAGAATCCTACGTAGGGTCTCAGATGTCCCCTCTTTATATGGTATAACTGTAGATGACTTATATTCTCTCTTATTTATATTATTATTACTAGTTTCACAATTATTTTTCGTTTGGCCTTTTTCGATCTTCTTAATGAATTTAAAAGGATAGTTATTTAACACCAACGCCTCTTCTATCTGTTTTATTTCATCATTTAGGTCTTTTCTTGTGCTACTCAGTGCTATGGCTCGGTTTGGTAGACACTTAACTAAGCCTGCCTTAACAGTTAACGGTTGAGACGAATTAAAGTCTAAATATCTATTAGAATGCGTTGGTTTTCTATAAACACCAGTGTGTAGTTTGCCTTCTTCTATTCGTTCTATTTTAACAATCTAACGTAGCTAATTCTCCTTGTTCATTTTCTGATTCAAATGTGAATTTTATTCCTTCCACTAGTGAGTTTATGTGTCAAGAAACTAGAGAGAGATATGTTCTGTTTTTAACACTGTGAAAGTGTCATCCACATATCTCCACCATATTTTTGGAGTAGGATTAAACGTATTAAGAGCATTACTTTCCCAGCTGTCGATAAATATGTCTGCTACGATAGGGGATATTGGTGATCCCATTGCTACACCTTCTGTTTGTCCACATATTTTGCCTTGGAACTTAAAGGTAGTAGATGTGAAGTATTACTGAATCCCTAAAATAATTTCTTCAATGGGCAGCTTTTTCCTATGACTGAGTTTCTGATCCGCAGTTAGTTCTTTTTTAACTGCTTCTAAGGCTATATTGACCGGTATATTAGTATAAAGACTAGTTATATCAAAACTAGCCATTTTTGTTTTATGATTCCCTAGTTGAATGTCATTTATTTTATTTTTCATCTCATATGAATTAGTTAATCTAGAGTTTGAACGATTTCTAATGGGGCATAATATTAGAACTAAGTGTTTTGATAATTCATACGTGGGGGTATTTCTAAAATCTACTATTGGTCGTATGGAGTAACCTGGCTTATGTATTTTTATAGTACCATATATTATACTAGCATTATTAGTTTTAGGCATTAAATTAAACTATTTAGACTCACCCAGTGACGGCTTCATTCTGCGTATTAGTTCCGCTGTATCCTTGTTCATCGAGTCTACACCCAACACATGAAATAGGAATGATTCATCACTCATACTCGAAAAATGGAAAATACTACTGACAATCAAATCAAGTGAAAAATAATGGAACCATATAAATGAAGTTAGGAAGTCGTGTGATAACCTTGATATGATTATGAGTAGGAGGTGTGGAAAGAAGGCGAAGTACCCGAGGATTGGAAGAAAGGATACTTATTCAAACTTTCAAAGAAAGGAGACTCAAGTCAATGCAAAAACTGGCGTGGAATTATGCTTCTGTCCATTCCAAGCAAATTACTGAGCCGCATCATCCTGGAGAGAATCAAACAAGCCCTAGAGGAAAACTTCGACCGGAACATGCCGGATTCAGGAGAAACAAGTCATGTATTGATCAAATTGCCACTCTACGGATCATCATTGAACAAAGCTTGGAATGGAAGTCACCTCTCTATCCCACTCAACTTCATAGACTTTGAAAAAGCCTTCGATAGCGCAGGGTCGATCAAGAGGTCATTTGGCAACTACTTTGCTACTACGTAGTGCCACCAACAATTATACATCTCATCCAACAGTTGTACGACAATGCTGCATGGCAGGTAATTCAAATGGGAAACTTAAGGAATCCTTCCAAGTGAAAACGGGAGTAAGAAAACGTTGCCTACTATCGTGAATGATTTTCCTAATTGCAGTAGATTGAACAATGCGACAGACAACGGGCAATGAGGAAACAGGCATAAAATGGACTCACACAAAAAACTTGGAGGATCTGGACTTCGCCGATGATATATGTGTGATTTCCCACAAACTGGAAGATATGCAAGTGAAAAGCAACAAGTTGGCAGAAAAGCATCAAAGATAGGACTTCAGGTGAACATAGAGAAGACAGAGGTGATGAAAACTCCTGGCTAACACCAACAGCAACAACAATAACAGACTACAATCAGCCAGCATAAATGGGAGGAACCTGAAAGAAACGACCACCTTTACCTATCTACCTGGGAAGTATCGTTTCAACTACAGGCAGAACTGACGAGGATATCAAGGCCAGAATCGGAAAAGCAAGACAGGCTTTCATTACTCTCAAGTCTGTGTGGAGATCAACAGCACTCAGAATCCAAAATAAGATCCAGATTTTCAACTCCAATGGGAAGTCAGTCAGTGCTACTATACGGATGGATCAGAGACTTGGCCAGTGCGTCATAAAGAGCATCTCAAATAAACTTCAGACCTTCATTAACAGTTGTCTTCGCTCAATACTCAAGATCAGATGGCTGGCCAGAAAAGATCAGCAACATGAATCTCTGGCAATGAGCGAACCAACTCAGCAGGAACCGATTGTGAAACAAATAGGCAGGAAGAAATGGAGATGGATTGGCTGGCCATACGCTGAGGAAACCATCAAGTGATATCACTAGACAAGCCATCGCTCGATTGGAACCCGAAAGGGAAGCGGCGACTTGGTGGTTCAAAGGTGACTTGGAGGAGGTCATGCGTGGAAGAGATGAAAGCATGCGGGCACACCCGGAGCGGGGTGAAAAAGTTGCCAGAAAAGAGAAGGCAATGGGGATGCGCAGCTGAAGCCCTATGTTCCTCTGGAAACTAAAGGATAAAATAATAATAATAAATAATAAATTTTGCTCGAAATGCAGTCGTCAGTAAACATTACTGTATAACACTGTGAGACTTTATCAAAACAAAGTTTACCCATAATAGTAGTAACACTGTATCGTTGTAAATAATTATAATAGAACTGGCTATTACACTGACGAAGTTAAGTAGTAATGATTTTCAACTCACCACGTTTGCAGCTCATTTGTTCTCTTCTTATAATGACAGTTGCTTTGTCTAGTTTCAATATGACATATATATTCTAATTCCCTTCTACGCTATTTCACATTCCTAAATAAATTCCTTTCTGTCGAAACAACACGGCTAGCAAACTTGTTGTGCGCTTCAGAAAAAGGATTTTCAACAGGCGCTACAGCAGACTTTTATGAGCAGCTACCTTCACTCCATACTCAAGATCAAATAGTAAGAAAGAATTAGCAGTAAGAAACTCTGGCTGACAACGAACCAACCAAGAGCCAATTGCTCAACAAACATGCAACAGAAAATAGAGATGGATCACGCATACATTGTGGAGGACATCGAATGACATCGCGTGCAATGCAGGCCTTTGCTCGAGTGGAATTCCAATCGGAAGCAACGATTTGAGTGTGGATGATGGAGACACGGGAAAGATTTTGCATGGAGGAGGTGACATATTATATGAGCAAACGTGGACCCAGGTGAAGAGGACAGCAAAATATAGAACAAAGAGGAGATGTGTCCCTTGGAACCCAATGGAATAATAGTAATAATAATGTCAGAAAAATGGTTAGGATATATTCACTTAATTTTTCTTTTGATACGCACTGTTGTTGTTACCTCGCTGTGATTACTTATGTCTAGGATTTCATTTGATGAGTGGCAGAAATAACCATACTATAAAGATAAGCAGTGGACGTTTTAGATCATTAGGTGATTTTAGTTATCTGCAAATGCATATTAGCCTTAATGAAGTGGTTTCTGACGAAATTTCAACGAGCATGGTATTTACTGAGGTGCTTTACGCTTAGCGTGGAATGTGTTATGTTTTGTTATCCATCAAAGTTCATTTGTGATGTACGCCTGTCAGTGGTGAGCATACTTTGATTAGACCCCGGTTAGTAACTGATGTAATGCGTACGGTCCTTTGTTTTGGTGCACACTGAATTGTATCAGTCAAGTTGGCGAAGTGGCAGCCATTCTCAGTCGCTCACCAACGCCGTGCACGTTGAGTTGACATAACATGATTGGGAACAGTCGGGTGGAAGGCCTGTACCTAGGTTTGTTGCTTGGCACCTACCAGTTAGCAAGGTGTATCTGCTCTCTTGAAGGAACTCATGCCCCTTCTGAGGTTCTAACCCGTGTTAACCTGTGCCGGATTCATAAATGTTACCACTGAGCTATTCATACTTATGATTGATTCCAGGGGATACGCCTTGGAAACGAGTGCTAAGAAGAACGAAAATTAAGTCAAAGGCTTGCGTCGAGT